CAGTAATTTACTTGATTTAGCTTACATTTTTATCATCTTGTATTTGGTCAGAGTGTGAACATATCAAGGACACTACATTTCTATCCCTGGCCAGACAATGATGAGCCTTTCCAAAGATCAAAACTGCCTAAAAGCCAGGTGAGAAAAATCTATGAATCTCTTTTCCACATGTGCACACAGTGCTTACTGACAGTTGAAAAGAGTTTGATAAAAATTGTTTAAAACTTTACTGATATTTTTTACATATCCAGTACCAACAATGGATATCTTGACTGTGTAGTATCTAAGGTTTCACTTGTGGTGGAAAACCTAATGACACAGCCCTCTTCTCCATAAGGGCCTACAAAGCATTTTATCATCTTTCAGCTTATTGTTTTGGTTCTACAATATTACTGATTGGTTCATCACCCCACTTTCCAGACATAGCAGGGCGTTGTTTTCATTGGAAAAACTATGATAAATCCAAGTTAGCAAACAGCTGATGAACCTAGTGAAGAATTTAGCAGCTAAAATGCCAGATCTTTGCCTCATTAAATTGATGGAGACCAAAGCAGAGCTAAGATCAGACTGAATATTAGACCTTGCAGTCATCAGTGCTAAAGAAACAACTCCAAATGAAAGCTCAAGTCTACTTGCTACTGTATGCAACTTATACAATAACAATACCAACTTTTCATATAAATACTGTCAACGTTTAACAGTTTATTATGCTGTCTCAATTTGGCCAAACATAAATGAATGCTGCTTAAAATAATTTATCATTGTAAGGTATTAATGAAAACTGTATGTACAGTAAAAGTACTTAATTGTAGCCATAAATCCTAACGCAGATGCACTTTTGTAATCTACATCTCTCACTGTATTACAAAAAAGAAAATGTGGTTTCCTGAACACTTCGATGGTTTAACAATAATCTGCATGCACGTGTTTCTCTGCATTTAAAGACATGGGTGCAAAGCTCAGTTCACTTCTTTCCTTCCCACCTTTGTGACCTATTACTGTACAGAAGATGACAGTGGCCTGATTCTGTCAAAGTACAATCCATTTTTAGATGTATGAATAAAACATAAAGGCACCTATCTTAGAGTTAAGCAGATATGACAATAGGGTCTTCCTCCTAATCTAGGTCAAAGCAGGCAATTTGTCAAATCTCCAATTATTTAGTGTATGTCTTATCAGCAGCCAGATGCCCAGTTACATAATTCACTATAACGCTTGCTACACTCCCTCACACAAAAGCCAATCACTGGAGTTATCAAACCAAAACCTTGTTCTACAGTAGGTCTGTTTGCCCAACTACAGCTGAGATCAGAACATGTCATGTCTAGAAACCTAAGAAAAGTCTAGCAAACTCCTCTTTCAAGATATCACTGAACTATTAGGTACATACATAAAGCTGGCATATGTTTTTTTGAGGGAGTGTAACAAAAGAGTAGGTAAGATCTTCTTTAATGTGGAACGATGAGGCTTCCCCATTTTCTGCAATGTTTCATTATATAAACTGACATCCAAAGTCCTCCTGCTGTGCCTGCCACATGCTGGAAAGCACTTTTGAGAGTACTTGGGATGCAGACATGATGATAGCACATATTGGTATGGAGGGTCAATCTCCTGTCAGTGCTCAGGAGAGGGCATCTGACACACTGTTATATTTTTCTCTCCTGTATTGCACAGTCAAAGTGCTAGGGTTGGTGGTTTTAAACACCCACAGAAGAGAAGGTCTGTCATGGTCTGTCACCACAGAGAACAGGTGGCCTTCTAGGTAGGATCCCCATTTCTAGAACTCTAACACCACAGCCAAGCATTCCAGCTCAGTGGCAGAATAATTCCTTTCAACTGGATTAAGGCTGCAGGTGACAAACGCAACAACTTCCTCAGTTCCAAGGTCTAAATTCTGTACCTGAACTGCACCAGGGCCAATCTCACTAGCATCTTTTTAGACCACAAAGGCACTGATGACTGAGTATCCTACTCCTGGCAGTTGTATTAAATGCTCTTCTAGGGTACTGAAGGCAACATGGCATGCAAGAGATCATTAGCTTTGCTCATTTTTTTCCAAGAGCCTCTGCAAGGCCTTCAAGCAGGAACTGGAAAGTTGTGCATAGTTTCCATCTTATCCAGATACACATGAACTTCTTACAGAGAGACAAGCTCTTTACACTTTATCCGGGACAGCAAATAATGTATTGGTCCCAGGATCTACAAAACATGTCCTCATGTCATCCAGATATACAAAGCTTCTGACACCCTTTTGTTCTCCTGTGTCTCATTCCAGTAATTTTAGAAACACTGCCATCTCCATTGAGAAAGAGGTTTTAAACTTCAGTGGGACTTCCCCTTGTGAAATAAAAGTTAAATAATAATTGTCAGTTTTTCAAACTTGCTGGGAATTAGTACAACAGAGAAGGCCCATGCAGAGCAAAAAGGTTCAGTAGTATCCTCCTTCAACACTGTACGTCCTGAATGAGTTACTTCTTCACCTTCAGCTCAGGAGTGAAGTTATTTACAGTGATGGGCATTATGAGATGCACCCTGCTCTTCAACTTAGTCGCAGCAGACGGTTTACAGCATTTCATATTCATTCAGAGGTTAGGGATTTGCATCATCTAAAAATGACCAGTCTGTAGCTTTCCTTACTACTTCATAGCACCATGATGAGCTGATTGACATGAGGACCTCCCACTGGGCGAGTGGGTTGTTTCCTGTCTCATATCTGAACAAGTCATGTCCCCTACAAAGCATTTGTGCCTCACTCATGCACAGTGCTGTCATCTCCCAAATGCATCAACCCCCAAAAAGGTGTCACTGGGGATTATGGGATACCTCAAGAGGATTGAAAGTGTTTTTGACAGACTGGCCGCTTCGCTCTATATTCTCCATTATATGAGAGTATTGGTAAGAAGTGCACATTTCCAGCTGTTGATACCGAATCTTACACTGTGGTATGCTTTTGTTATGTTTGACCTTGCTGTTGTCAGAGCACACAGTTGTTTTTTATGTTGACCATGCAATAATTAGAATTCAATTTCTGCATGCACTTCTAATCACGTATGAATGACATGAAACGTCACTTTCAAAGAACTTTTTTTTTTGGGTGAAAGCAATTATCAACAAAGAAAGTGTTGGCAATTCCCTGCAGTGGAACTACTCATTTGCAATTTGCTAATGTTCACAGTTTTAATCAAGTAAAGGAAGAAAAAAAAAAAAACAATACAGCACAGTATGTGCCCAGTGCATTAATGCTCCTCCTCCTCTTCTGTCTTCATGTAATTAAGGGTCATTCTGTCTCCTGGCCACATTAGGACACTGCACACTAGTCCCAGCCCACTTAATCAAATGATTTAATTAATTTTTTGTGTGCTAACCATCTGGAGACTTCATCTCTATAAACATGCATGTCAAAATTATTCCTTAATAATGTTTATGTTTTTCTCAGTGACTTATTATCATCTAGGATTAGCTGTTTGTTTATTTTGCTTTAATCAGCAGCACCAGCCACACATGTTTGTTTTCATCCCTCGTGAGGATTTCGCATTGACTTATTCCTACACCCTAACCACTACATGCCTAACCTGAACCCTGAACCAAGCTGTCACCCTGAAATTCAGTGGTTTACATGTTGGGGTCCAGTATCTGGTCCTCAGAAAGAAGTTACCAAAAATCTGAGTATATAAATAAATTTTGGTTCCCACAGTGTGAGTAATGCCAGGTGCGCGCGCGCGCACACACACACACACACACACACACACACACACAGAAAACATAAAAGCCCATAAGGTACAAGTAAAACTAGAATATCAGCAAGCCAGCCTGCAATCCAAGCAAACAAAGTCATGAATATATGAAAGCAATACTTTTGTATCGTCTAATATTCAGGACACAGTGCTTCATAAATGCTGAGGCACTGTTTTTGGCACAGTGGGACTTTATGGTTCATTCATTCCAATAATATTAGCAAAAATATGTTTCACCAATAAATAACTGTTCTTTGGAGTTCGGTCAGCCTTGCAAGAATATTGTGATTAAAATCCGCAGTTTTATTCAATAAACAGACATTTGAGGTGAAAGTGATATTCACTGTTGTTGCAATTTTTCCCTTGCACTCTTTTCTCCAAGTATGGAATCTCTCTTTTCTTTCTTTTCCCTTCAAATGGTACTGTTGTTGAAATACAGACATATGTGCAGTCAGAGGAATGTTCTGCCTTTCTCATTCTGTGTCTCTCAGAGTGTGGTTTAGGGGATTATTCTGTGCCTGAGTGCCTAGAATAATGATCACTGCAGCGGAGAAATACATTTTCACAATTCAGCAGATAAGGGCAGGCAATCTGCAAGCAGAGGACTTAACCAGCTCCCTGTGGCTTATTGTAGAGCTAACAGAGAAGTCACCACCAATGGCCAACACCCAGGGTAAACGGTACCCTCTGCACAAGCAAGAACGCCCACTATCTCTTCCACTCTGAGCAATGTTAAGTCTGAAATGACAGTGAAATTACATTCATAATATTTTCTAAATATAAGGCACCCTGGATTACTATGTCCCTGTTATACTACTGTGCAGTTTCTTACTGTAGGATTTCATTTACCACCGAGAAACCAAATATTTCAGTTAAAAACATAACTTAATATAGAGAGCTATCAAACTTAATCCATTCTTGCATAGCTGGCTTCCCAGAGTAGGAAACATGCTTAGAAGGACCCCTTATTTGCAGAGAATAAAACATTTGTGGATGTTATCATGAGAGGAATTCAGACACTGCAATGACAGAAAAAAAGAACTGTACTCCTTGAAAAGGTAGACCTGGATTTCCATATCAGAACATTAAAAACAAGCAATGGCAATGCCAACGTGGCAATTTACCTCAGTAGAACAGCTTGCTCCTGCTGTAACCCATTTCTTAATAACCAAGAGGAGACAGAAAAATGCCAAGTTAGCTGTTCAAAAGCAAGCTCCCTAAGATATTTCTTTTTCTACAGGTGCAGTGAGTTCAGTAAAAACCTACCTTTCCCACATACTGTGCCTCTGGTCCCATGTGTTCTTCTAAAACAAAGAACTGGTTCCAGATCCAGCCACGCTTAGGCCTGTGGTGTACCTCTGTCTCCCCATTGGCCAGTTTGGTCTGGTTCTTGGAGAGCACTCTGGCAGAGATGTGGTGGCTCACCCCACAGCCCCTCTGGATGAAGCAGAGGCAGACCAAAAAGGGACAGAGACAGGAGGAGGTGGATATTCTCATGGCGCCTCGTGTTTTTGGAATATTATCCCTTTGTTCCAAAGTGGTAAGGTCCTCGTACCATCAGTGCCACAGACACTGCTACAGGCCAGTGCAGTAGTCCAGGCAAACTGGGATCAAATCCAAACTAAGGAAATAGCCGTCCTGGTAAATCCTCTAAGGTTCATGGTGCAAATCTGAAGGTTTGATCAAATAAGATAAATTTACATTATGGGTTTCCAAGGCAGTGAGATGCTGTGGAAACTGATGTGAACTTCTGGCTAGTTCTATCAAGATCAGAGGTTAATCCTGCAAGCCATTCTGGATTTCCTGGGAGAGAGAGGAGAAGGAGAGAAACACAGAGTTATTGATTAATTTGATAGACATTAGAAGCTAAATGTCCACTAATCACTCCAAATTAACTCCAGCCTATAAATCCTTACAGATGGCGATGCACACTTCAACATGTCTGACTGTGATAAAATACAAAAAGGAAAGAAGAAATCTTGTTTCAGTATTTTAGCCATTTTTGCCATTATGGTGATGATACAAACATGTTTGGACTTGATGGGCTACAGTGCTTTTAAAAGGTCGCCCATGCCTATGAGATCAGACAGCTGCTTGGTGAGCTATCCTGCCCTGAGATGTCCGAGTCATGTATCAGAGCAGAGCAACATTGGCCCTCTGACTCAAAAGATGAGTCGGCTTGGCTTTATCAAAAAATGTCAAAAAAAAGAGGTCTGTTTAGAATGTTTTATCAGGACCGGGACATACTGCAAAGCTTAGTGTACGTCTCATCACGGTGAATAATAAAAAGTGTGGTAGGAAAAATACATTTGCTATGATAAGGACAGACATCAAGTCACTCAGACGTAAAGCAGTGGGTGACTTTTTAGAAGGCAGGCAAATTTAAAGACAGATGGAAACAGTCTGTTTAAATCTAAATTATATACTGAAGATCACAGCGAAGCAGTAAAGTAACTGCAAGCACCGTTGAATTTCTACGTTGGAGAGCATTCAAGTAAAGCTCTGACAGTACATTATTCCTCACAAAAATGTTGAAGGAAGTACACTTATAAAAATTTGGCTCATTCTTAGTTAAAAACACAGATGTAAAAGTGGAACAATACTAGTGTCACCTTTTATGTTAGAAAATGTCAAACAGCTGAATAGGACACTGGAGAGACAGACAAGCTGACAAGCAGTGCAATAACACACGGTAGGAGGCTTTCTATGAGTCCAGGCAAAGATAAATAAATAAATGCAACTGAGCAGTGAGAAACCAGGGGTGAAGTCGAAGTCCAAACAGTGGTCAAGAACAAGCAGGAAAACTAATCCTCATGTTCCAATTTTCTCTACATGCAAATTGTGCAATTCAACTACAGTTGTCGGTGATGTTGACTAAGTGCCGTGACTGTAATGGGTAATACCTACTGTCAGCCCAGGTAGTGACAACAAAGGCTAAATCTGTTCCACATTGACTTAGATTTAAGCAGCTGAGGATGAATCCTCAACCAGACGCTAAATGTGTAATATGGAAAAAGATTCTCATCTGCATAGGTGTAGCTACCCCCAGTCTTTCTGTCCCTGCTCTCTTTCTATAACTGAGAAAATGATAGAAAGAATACTGATAAAGTAATTATTTCAAAAAAGCTCTTTTAGATTTTTTTCAAAGCCTTTTTTCTCATTGAATAACATCACGATTCAGCCACACTATAGCTAATATTCCTACACGGTCGAAGCATTGCTGAAACAATTGTGATACCTGAATGAGTCAGAATATCTTTTCCAGTGTTTTCATTTGCGCCTCCTGGGGCCCTCTTCAATCAGTCTCCTAATTGTCTGATTATCATGCTGATTCTAAGCAAAATACATTTCAGGGAGCCATGAAATCAACAGCATCTGGCTCTGTCAATGGAAATAATTTCCCCCTTTTCATAATGATATTGTTTTGAGCAGCCGTCTGCCTACGGCATGTTTATATGTGTGCAGCGTTTAACAGGATGGGTTATGCCCAGTGGCAGCCACAGAGAATTTGTCAAGATGCACGCGAGAGTGGGTACATTTTCATGCACATGTTAATGCAGTGCCTCAATTACAATGACCTGGTTCATTTCATGACCCGATTATGAAAAACCTGATATGCAAGTATTTTCTACAGTTAATACTACTCACAATTTTTATTAGTGTCAAAAAATCCAGTGGAAAAACAAAGACATCATGGATTTGATCCTGCAAAGAGGTATTTGTGGTGGAGACAATCTGTCTTCAAAAACCTACTAAAGCACATTAAAAAGCCACATTGTTTCTCTGGATGGTGTTAAACCATCACAGTACGGGCCATGTAATGTACATCCCCACAAGTTTTATACTGGGTCATTAGAGCAAATGTGTATTGATCCGTTTCTGAAAGTAGTCCTCAAAATCTTCTGTATTTACACCTAGTTTAGCAGTATTTGCTAAAAATGTCACCCCCAGCTGTCGGAGAAAATGACTAAACCCTCGTAAAACCGTGAAACTACATTTGTTTTTCAAAGATTCAAAGATAAGTTTTCAGGAGGAGCCAAGAGACTTCAGACTTTGAGTCACAGACAGGGTTTTAAAGTCAAATTGTTTTTAGATGAACTACACCTTTCTAATTTTGGTCTGTTCGTGGGATCTTCCCAAAAGTAGAATGTTTAAATTTACCTTTAATACTGTTATTTATTTACTTTTTGCTGCTGGACTATTCAATCTGTGGCCAAGGCATCAAAGGTAGACAGAAACACTGTCTTTCCATCTCCACTTTTATTCTTGGAAACAGGAAATCTCACTGACAGGCACCAACAATCTGTGTAAACAACTTAAACTGAATAAGACCTTAGCCAGCATATGGCCAACAGCTCTTGCACAGCTACTGATGACACCGCAGAATGTGAAGCATCTAGAAAGGCAGAAACTAAAAGTGAAAGACAGTGAGAAATGACGAGAAAGAGATGCACCTCTGCTCAGAGTGTGGCCACTAACAGCTAATGCTGTGGCCTCCTGCTGAGAGCTCTTCTACGGCATTTGATTTCACAGGATGAGCTTTCTGCCGATGTCAAACACCAGATAGCAGAAGACTGAGGCAGGTCAAAACATGCATCACTGAACCACTGTTCTATCCTCAAACCAAAAGGGACCAGTCAAAAAGAGATGACCACAGCAAAGAGCCTCTTGACTTTTCACCTCACCCAAAGGAGAAAATACATCAAAAACACCTTCCACCCATTTGTAGGGCCTGTTTGTTGCTTGCATCTCAGGCGATGTTTCACTGTGCTGAGGTAAGGAAATAACAGGGTTGAAGTAAATGCAGAAAAACACAAACAGCAGAGAGAATTAGTGACACACAAAATGTGTTTATGAGAAATCAAACCATATTACTGCTGCAAAATGTTCTTGAACTTGAGGTCAATGTTTATTCTCTGTTATGTCAGCTGAAGCTGGAGGAGCTCTATGTGAACCTATTGTAGCAAATGATAAAATGTATGGTGAAAAGCTGCACCATCACCAGAAAATGTACTAATGAGTCATACAATATGTGTTCTCACACCTTGTCTAAAACAATTAACACAGTTTCATTACATGTGGCTTAAAAAACATGGTTTTAGACTGACTACAAAAGGAAAAGGTGAAAGGTTTTGATTGTCATTTTGAATATAACTGTCAGTGAGTAAAAGCTGGGCAATATGACATCATATACTGTAAGACAACATTTGTCTACCGTCCAAGCTTTCACCATTCTTTTATACTTTTCTTTAAATGTCAGGATTTATTTTGTTGTTGCAGGCAATGTTATAATAAGTAGGAATCTTTTATGGCAGAACTGGATTTTAACAGGTTTTCTGCACTGATGTAAAAGTACACTGATTTAAGACAGGCCCCAAAATGTGGACCCCAAAATGTGGACAAATTTTAATCCAGACTTAAAACCCTCATCTTTGCCAAAGCCTTTGACTAAACTCTTAGTTTAACTGTTGTAGGGGTCATTCACTTTTCTCACCTTTTGAGCACTCAAATTTATTTTAAATGGAGACAAGTGTGTGACAAGTGTGCTCACAAAAGAGAGTGACGCCATCGTGATGCCCATTTGTTGCAACGTGCCCATTTTTCCATGCGTGTCCACACCGGCGGCGAGATTATGCGACAAGAAGCAACCACTCAGCCTTAACAGAGGTTCAAAGCTCAGCCAAGATGGACGACAGAGCTCCTGGATCATTTGGTGAAATTCTACGTGTTTGGAGGATGGGGTGCACCCAAACATGGCATTTTTCCCTTTGTGTCCACATCTAAATCTAGTAGCAGTGGTACTGCGAGGGATTTTTGGTGCAGGAAATCCATTTATATTCTGCAACTTCTCATCGTCATGCAGTGCACAGCTCATGGTTGCTTAGCAACGGCAGACGCCACGGGAGCGCAAGCTCCCGGGGAATTTTGGAAATAAGGAGAAAGCAGCACGGCTGGTGTTTTCCACGCATATTTTGTTTTTAATGAGTATTTAATTTTTTGTGTTCATTATTTTCTTTATACATTAGTGCACTAGTTGTGCTTTATACTTAATGTATTTTATTCCCTGTAAATCACTTTGAACTGCTCATGTATGAAATGTGGTATATGAATCAAGTTGCCTTATGTTTATGGCTGTGTGGTTATAACTGGTTTCTCAGAAATCTTACTATTTCACTATACAGTGGGTACGGAAAGTATTCAGACCCCCTTAAATTTTTCACTGTTATATTGCAGCCATATGCTAAAATCATTTAAGTTCATTTTATTTCCTCATTAATGTACACACAGCACCCCATATTGACAGAAAAACACAGAATGTTTGGCATTTTTGCAGATTTATTAAAAAAGAAAAACTGAAATATCACATGGTCATAAGTATTCAGACCCTTTGCTGTGACACTCATATATTTAACTTAGCTGCTGTCCATTTCTTCTGATCATCCCTGAGATGGTTCTACACCTTCATTT